TGCTTTTATTGTGCATTGTGATGGAAACAGAAAGATGCGATTTGTTAATCGTAAGGGTGTGTATGTGTTGGAGCAACTTGGAGCGAATGTCGAACCAGGTGCCAAAGAGACAAGTGCGATGTACCGTTGCCAGTTAAACAACTTAAATAATCAACCCCATTTCGAACTTTCTTCAACCAAACAGAATGGATATGCTGGACTTGAGATGACCTCCAAGATGGCAACCGTTCAAAAGAACAAGGAAGGATTCACTCCAAGACAAGTCAAGGCTGCAATGGAAGCGAGAAGTGCCATGCACATACTCAATGCTCCAAGCACCAAAAGTCTGAACTATGCAATCCGATCTAGTCTCATCAAGAACTGTCCTATCACCGAGGAAGCGATCAACCATGCCGAAGCAATCTCTGGACCTGACGCCTCTACATTGAAAGGCAAGTCAACTGGACCAACTCCAAAGAAGATGTACGACGACTTCTTCAGTCCACCAGAGGAATTATATCAGCACAATCAATCTATTACCATCTGTATTGATCACATGGAGATCGAGAATGCCAAGTTTCTCACCTGCATTGATACCACTGTGCGTTATCGCTCATGTATTCCTGTGCAGATCCTGAAGACTGACCCTGTATTTGAAGCATTGGATAAGACATTCCGCCACTACAACAAGGCAGGCTTTCAAGTCAAGATCATCAAATGTGATCGGGCGTTCATTCCTCTCACGGATGATGTGCTAGACGATATGGGTGCTACTATTGACCCGACTGCAGCCGGAGACCACGAGCCTACCGCTGAGCGCAACAATAGGACGTTGAAAGAAAGAGTCAGAGTAGCTCTTGCACGATTACCCTACAAAGTGGTTCCAAAAGTGATCACTGAATGTCTTAAACGTCAAGCCGCCGAGCTATTGAATGTCTTTCCCCAGAAAGACAGTATCTCATCACATTTCAGTCCGCAGCAACTCATTGATAATGTCAATATCAACTACAAGAGTGACATGGTTGCTGAACTTGGACAATAT